CACACACACACACAGAAACAAAAATAGTTCCCATTTAATTGTATTTTATGTAAAAAAAACAACATTAGATTTAAATTTTTAAGTAAAAAGTGTTTTAAGACCCTTAACCATTTAGCGGCTATCTAATATAAGAAAAAAAATGTCAAAAATAGGTCAACCTGATATTCAAATGGAGTGCAATCATTTGAAATCAAAAATAATGGTGTTTTTTTAAAAAAATAAAAAGTTTTATTTTTAAAAAAACATGTACAAAAATTTACATTTTTATTTACTTAAAAAAAAATCATTTTTTATGCAGTAAATTCTTAAATAAAACTCATTTATATACTAAAAAAAATTTAATTACTAAAAGTAAAGTATAATATTCGCAATATATAAATAATTATTTAATAGACTTCTTAAGTATGGCAATCGTTAATCATTTACTTCGAGGAAGTGGAGCATTTTACATGCGTCGTTCATTTGCAACAGACTTCTTCTACAAAAGTATTTTTACAGAGTACGTCCAACTTGTGCTTCTAATTGCTGAGCGTCCTATTGAATTTTTTCCCGAAGGTACAAGGAGTCGTTGTGGAAAAGCTTCTCAGCCAAAAGTTGGTAAATAGAAAGTTTTTTTCATAAATTTAGATTTTTAATTAAATATTTATTTTAATATAAATTTCTAAAAACACAAAAAAAGTTAATGCGAACTACAATATAATCTATAAACCTTCTTTAATTTGGATAAAGTTTTTTATACAAGTTATTTGTATATTAACAATTCATTAATCAGGAATTCATTTATTAGGAATTCATTCATCAGGAATTCATTCATCAGTAATTGAGTCATCAGTAATTCATTAATTGGTAATTCATTTATCAGTAATTCTTTAAAAATGAGTTTAGGTAATTAGCAAGAAAATAATATAAAATTGATTTAAAAAAGAATAATATAAATACAGGAATAAATTAACCAAAAATAAACAAAATTCAGTCTGTAACATTTATTGAAGATGATACGAAATCAACCCAAAATTAAACGTGGTTTCACAACGACAAGGCAAATTAAACTCTGATTTCCAAAGATATATTCAGAATTATATATTTTGTATCATAAAATAATCAGTGTGTAGTAATTAATTATTATTAACCTTTTATAGCCCCGAGTTGCCTGTGGTCAACATACCAAAAAATGGTTTAAAAACTTAATTAAAATTTTATTTTATATGGAAATGAATGTGGATAACTTTAGTTTAATATTCAACCAATCAAAATTTACCTACACTAAAGGCTATACTTAGAATCCTCAGGTTTATTAATTTTTCAAATTTCACTAGTTCACGTTTCGTGTGCTTGTAAATAAGGTCAGTTTTGATTCTTTGATTTTTAGAAATACTTTATCTTTTTGCAGCTCAAAAAATTTCTAAATTGTTTAATAACATATTTAATTTAATTTTATGCATTTTTTTCATCATCTTTGTATGAAACACGTTTTTAAATATAATTTAAACTTTCATTGCTTTAAAGCAACATTGCGCATATCTGCTTAAAAAGTCAAAACGCAACTTATTGTTTGGAAACACGTTTTGTTGATTTAAGGTAACATTGCGCATAAATGGAATTTAAATTAAATATCAATTATATTGAAATTGTCTAATAAAAAACATTATTGTAGGTATAATTTTATATTTATCTAGATGGATACTTTTAAATTTTATGATCAAAAATCAAAGTTTCAAGTTGTCAATTGCCGAATCATTAATTGTGCAAGGAAAAAGGTTAATCAAAAAAGGACAACCTTCAACATCAGTTGATCTGATCTATAATGAGAAGAAAAAAAGAGGTCCTGCAGCGCCAATTCCAAACAAACTTATTAGAAATGATGGGTATGAACATTGGTCAGAGTACACAGATAAAAAAGGGAGATGTAGATATCCTGGTTGTAATGGTTTCCCTAAAATAAAGCGTTCCAAGTGTGATCTCCATCTCTGTTTTACGCCGACATCCAACTGTTTTTAAACTTTCCATTAATCCTAAATTTCAAATACACTTCTTTTAATAAAATGAAAATCAGAAAAGATAAAAAACTTGGGATTTTCATGTAAAATAATATTTTGTTAGAATAAAAAAGTTAGTACTTTATGCGTCCGTTGTTGCCTGGAAGCAACAAACCTTAAATTGGCCCCAAAAATATAAAAAATTTGTTTTTTAAAATTTCATTATTATATTAAAATGATAAGTGACTAAAATTCAAAAAATTATATTTTTTACACAACAAAAAAATAAAGTGGGCTATAAGAGGTTAAGAATAATATATTTGATTCACTTTTAATTTTAATATATAGTTGGTGTTTTCATGTTAAGAGTATTCTTTTGAAGATATTTTTTTCACTGGTGGGCATTAAAGGGCAATTTTTCTAATCTTCTACTTCTAATTATTATTTAAATTCAGCTTGATGTCCTTTATCTTTATCTTTATCTTTATGGAGAAACTCTTACACCATCATGTAATAAATTGTGCCATCAAAAGAAATGTTTTAAAAATAGAAAAATAAAAAAAGGTTTTGAAAATAGTAAACACAAATTCATAAATTTCATATTTCACATTTACTGCGAGTTCAATTTTATAATTTTAATAATATTAACTTTCTTTATACATAAATCGCATAGCGAAATAAAGTCACAATTATAAAATCTCAGCAAAAATAATAACGAACGTTGTTTAATTATAAAAGAATTACAAAAGATCACAACCGATTGCATGCTATCGTGGCAACGAAGAATACCAATATATATTTTTTCATGCATGGTCATAAAATGTTATTATTTGCTTTTATGTTTTAAATTCAAACAAGCAGAGAATCTAGTTTTCTTTTCTTTTTTTTAAGTTATAGTGCCAGTTTCTTGTAATAAAAATAAACATTGTTATTAAAGGTATTAATTTACATTTTAATATACGTATTTAATTTACATTTTAAATATAAGCATATTTTTAAATATCTATTTTCCTTAAATAATTTTATAGAACCAGTTTGTTATAATCAAAAAACATTTATTTAACTTGTTTAACTTTTTAGTCAAAACGGGCGAAACTTTTAAAGAAATAGCATTTGTTGGTGTTAAGCCAAACAAATTTTTAATTTTTTAAATTGTACTTTATTTCTTGCTAACTAACTTTTTTTATATAATATTTTTTGTTGTTGGAATGCATTACAAAAAATTATTTGCAAATTTTGAGAAATTAATTTTTTTTTCTAAGCGATTTTAGGGATTTTCAGAAAAATCCCAATTTTCAAAAAGTTTTTTTTCCAAGAGACATTTTTGCAGTTATGCAAGCGCGTAGTTATACCAATATTGGCAATTTTATTTCAAGTTTTAAACAATAAATTATAATTTTTTATATTATTTTTCTATTAATTATTAATAGTAATTAATTTTCAATAACTTAGAGTTATTAAACTTTAATTAGGCAAACTTTATTTGGAGAATGGGATTGTTTCACTTTTAAATTTGGAATTTTAATTTTATGTACATTTGGGAACACTGCGTTTGACAGGGCCCCATAGGGCTAGTTTACACCCTGATCTATATATAAAGAGAGAGAGAGAGACTAAATAGTCACTTCTTTTATTACATCAGAAGTTTTTCTATCGTAATTTCTTGCCTAAACCCAAACCCTTGGTGAATTTGCAGCAACTCACTACCATATTCTACTTATAACAATCTGTGTAGTTACTATCTAAGTGTGCTTTTATAGTTGTATATTTGTATAAGGGAGAGTGAGGCGCCATCATACACAGAGAACCATGAAACACTGTAATTGTGGAGGCATCTTATAAGTTCTGACAACCACTTCTGAAAATTACTATTAAAGTTTTAACAAAACTACTAGTGTTTTAACAAAAAAAAATTATTACTTGATATCATTAGGCCTGTGAGGAGTTGCATTTTGTGTTTTTTAATAACAAAATAGTTTATTAGTTTTTAAAGTTGCTAATTTTTAAGGTATGATATTCAATGTGTCTTTCTTTAAGCAACATTTTGTTAACTGCAATCCATAAGCTCTTTACTTCATTAAAAAAACTATTGAAAAACAGTTGATACTAAAAAATATAGCAATTATTTTCTATTAGCAAATAGTTCTTCATTTTGTCATAAACAATTCTAAAAATCATTACTTTTGACAATTACAGTCAATTTTTAAGAGATTTATGTAAATATAATTCTTGGAGATCCAATTTTGATATAAAGCCATTATTTATTGATGCTTAAGAATGACATTTAAAACAATAATAATATATGGATTTCTAAAAAGTGATTCGGATCATTGAATGCATTGTTTGGGTTATAATTATTAATTTGTTTTTTTTTTAATTAAGAATCTGCCTTTTCTCTAAGTTTTATACTTTTTATTTACTTTTTTAATGATGCTCATAGTTTGTATCATTGTACTTCTTGGGTGAAGTACCTTGTTACAAATTTTTAGTTTTACTTTAAATAGTCTCACAAGTTTAACCTGATTTATTTTGGTAATTAATAGGTTTAACTTTGTAGGTATGAACTTAATTTACAAATTGAATTAAATGCCTAAATAAAAGACCTATTAACAAATTTTTATGAAGCAAACACCAAAAGTGTATCATTGTAATCTACTCTCCCCCATGCACACACAAACACACACACACACACTCAACATAAACACACACACACATATACTCAACATACACACACAAATATATATATATATATATATATATATATATATATATATATATATATATATATATATATATACATATATATATATATATATATATATATATATATATATATATATATATATATATATATATATATATATATATATACGTATATATATATATATATATATACGTATATATATATATATATATACGTATATATATATATATATATATATATATATATATATATATATATATATATATATATATATATATATATATATATATTATTTATAAATAAAACTGCATATTTTTCACAGCTATTAGTTTCATGCTAAATGCAATCATCAGGTGTAAATATGTTTTTTTTCTTGTAAAAATAATAAATCTGTACAAAAGAGAATGAGTTGAAATATCTAATCTTTTGGTTTGTGGTTGTCCAGCAAAAACTTGTTCTCATGGCGACATTTAGATATTAGTTTGTTTTTTTTGTTTAATAATTCTTGAGGATTTTTATACAATAAAATAATTAGTTTTTTGTATAAGCATAACAAGCATTTTTTGGTTATGTTGTTGTATGCGGGGGCATATTTTATGATGGACCATTTTAAAATGGGTGTTGTTTTTGTTTTATTTTGTGTAGTTTTACATAGTTTATGTATTTAATATATTTATGTAACAATTTATGTATTTAATAATTTACAAAGCATTTCACATAGTATAGTATTTTCAGAAAATGTAATATAAATATATATTTTTTATTTCAAATTTTAATTTTTTGAGCTTTGAGTTTTCTTTTTTTTTGTTTCAAGATTTTTTTTTGTTTTATCTTACAAATTTTCTTTTTATTTTCTGCGCATTTCAGTTGTCAAAACATATTGCGTAAATAGTTTATGCGTGTTCAGGAATGGCGTT